GCGGCGGGTGGCAGCTGCGGGCTCCCGGAGCGCTGCAGCGGCGCCGGCCTGTTCCCGGCGCTCCAGGTCGCCTGGCGCTCTTCCTCGTTGGCAGCCCCACTGCAAAGTTGACTTGATGTTTGTCGCAGAGGGGGCGGCGGGGAAGGAGGGGGGCAAGGACCATCGACCTAAAGAAAAGGCAATCGGTTTGGCTTCACACTGTCAACCTGCCCGTTCGCATCCCTGCGCCGCTCCCTGCCTGCCCATCTGACACCACGCGACAACAAAATAATGCCATGGCCATGCTCCCGGGTCGGTTCATTTTCCAGCCATAGGTCTCCAAGCTTTTGGGACAGCCTGGCTTGTCAGGAATAATCTCCGGTCATTGGCAATGGAGGCCGGCCGTGTGCGTGGCACCTCGAAGAGGAAGATTTCGCTAAGCAGCGGGTTCAGGGCGGCCGAGACGCAGGACCCCTGCCGATATTCCCACGGAGGCTGTGGGATCCAAGTCTGGGTGTTCCTCTGAGCCCCGGAAACTTTAAACTCGCCTGGCAGGTGGACCAAACCCGGGCCAACCCATCTACCGTATATCACAGAGAAGGAGAGCAAGGAGTTTTCATGGCCTTGCTGCTACTAGTACTTTAGTTTTGAAAGAACCCAATCCTGATAATAGATTTTTTTTTTTTAACGGCGAAATCTCCTGGTGGTTACTTTAAAGCCGTTCACAACAATGAGAGACATAATGACTTTACGTTTGGTGCCATTTCCACCGATACCTTCCTAAAAGGAAAGCAAGTTCCTAAAAGAAGAATCAGAGGCCTTCCTAATACATTTTGCGCTAATAAAAAGGAAACTCGCTTCATCAGAAATTTGGTGAAGATGTACAGCCAAAATTCATTCCCTTGCCAGACTTGTAGGAGGTCACAACAAAAAGTGAAGAATTAAACAGAACAGCCTTTATGACGATTGTAGCAGCAGTGGCGTCGTAAAAGAAAGCAGCCCTGACTTTAATTATGGACGAAAACCATTAAGCATAAGTAGTAAAAAAAAAAAGTGGACTTTTGTAACTTTTCCATGGTTTTATCAAATATTTAGGAAAATCCCACAGTGGGCAACCCATTGATCTGCGGTATTTCTGCCAAAAACGCCTCGATGACACCCAAGAATTACAGTTTCAATTCGGCACTGTATGTCCATCACCTTCAAGTTGGGCGGTCCCATTTGCAGTACAGCGAACCTCAACTGCTGCTTCCCATTGGAATGTTTCAAGTAGAAGGCTCTCGGTTTCTAGAGAAAATTTAAATACAAACTTGAGACTTTAGTCCTTCTCGGGCTCCATTTCCAAAGACGCCGTTCAAGGTTTGACAAACATACAGTGAACCCTCGTTTATCACGGTTAATCGGTTCTAGACCCTACCGTGATAAATGAAATTCCGCGAAGTAGGATTCCTTATTTGTAAATCAAATATTTTCGTAGTTAGAGCATAGAGGACATGAAAAAACACCCTTTAGTCGCCATTACACTCGTATTACCCAATTTATTAAACGAAAAAGGGAAAATACAGTAAAACCTTTTGGACGTTACAATTATCATTTATTATTTATTATATTATTTATGGCATCAAGCGTGTACAGTATGAGCCAATCAGTGGCAGTAATGACAGAGCATGCGCTGTTACGCAAAAACTGCGATAGAGTGAAGCCGCGGAAGTCGAAGTGCGAAGTGGCGAGGGTTCACTGTATAAGCACACAGGCAGCTATCATTTGTTTTTATTGTCTAGGAAACCTCTAAAGGATAGGAAACACGGGCCTTATGAATTAAATATTTCATGTCAGGGAGAGCGTTGTTGATGTTCTTCTGTCAACCTGCCAGAGACATGCGTAATTTCTCACTCTAAAAGAAAAAGTGCAGTTAAGCACCTCCTTTCAAAGTCGCATTGACCATTTATGGAATCAAAGGAGAACAGGACTGAATCTCAACTTGTTGAAAAAGAACAGCATCATGCCTTGTCCTAAATTGAGGGGGGTGGACCACAGGCTTGTTGGATGAGACGTGCATTCTGACACATGATGATGGATGCTTTGTGTTTCGGTCAATTATTACAAAACTCTTGCGCAGTTGAGCATAGGGCTGGTTGGTAAGAATAGCTGTTATGCACTGTCTAGCTGGGACTGCTCATTAACCCAGGGCCGTCAGGGCGATTCTGACTCACAGGCACCCTGCAGGGCAGAGCCGAACTGCCCCTGTGAGTTTCCAAAGCTACAGCTCTTGTATTGGAAAGCCTCAGCTTTCTCACACAGACAAGCTGGTGGTTTCAAACTGCTGCCCTTCCAGTTTGCAGTCCAACTTGTAACCCATGACACCACCAGGGCTTCCAGCTAGAACTTAAGTAATAAAGTTTACTGTCAGTTGTGGTCATAGAACTGTACAGAAATGGAACCTTTCATTGACTGTGAGTCACAGACAATAAGATCAGAAGTGAATGCTGATGATAATAACTCGGAAAACAAGGAGCCTATTTTCAGCTTAACTAAGTCTGCAGAAAAACCCCTCTGGTATTTGAAATGTGGCCGATGCAAATGTACAGCAACAATGGCACCACACATGCATGGGCTTATTGCAAACACAATCTGAATGAACATGTCTCTGCCATCAGTGGATGCCTGTAGACAAATTCTGTCAGCAATATACGTGCTTAAACTCATACTCTCCTCCCTCCCTCCCCACTCCACGCCCACCTCCACCCCCACCCCTGGGGGGGAAAAAAGACCCAATCCAAACAGTGGCTGCTGAAGGGCTCTGCTGAGCCAGGAAGGTCAGAAAGGTATGGCAACTGTTTTGCTGGGATTCCCCAGGGATAACCTTGATAGATTTTTGTTTCAAAGGACACAGGAGAAGAAATTACAGGTTCCTATTATGAAGAATAAATGTTGATGGGAAAAGGGCCAGAAATGTGGCACAGAGTAATTTCCCCCCCATCACAACAATGCACTAGACCTTTCTTTGACAGCGAGCGCTAGCCCATGGGAAAATTTACATCCTCAACCCTGCAGCCTGGGTCTTGCCACTTTAGACTTCTTAATGTTCCCAGAACTCAAAGAATACTCAAAAGGAGCATGACTTGGCATCCCTGAGTATGGTAGAACAGTCATTTTGTTGAGGTGGAAATTGAAGAGTGTAGACTTCTCTGTGGTAAGGGTCTGAGAAAGAGAGACCTGGCCTTCAGAAGTGTATAGACCTAGATGAAGGATATATTGAGAAACAATAGCTTCATATTTTGATTATTTTTGTTTAATAAAGAGGTTTTTACTTTGTAACAATACTGTCTGACAGTCTCACAACTATCATTTTTTAAATATCATAAAAACCACATTTAAACTTTTAAAGAAAAAGTTATAATAAGCCTATTGAAATGTCTCTGTTCAATGCGTTGTGATTATTTAATGCTTTATAATCCTTTAATTTAAAATATGGAACTTTCCAATGCCTACACATCTGCCGGTGAGTTCTAGCTCTTAGAAGCTCAGTAGGACAGACTTGAAGTCAGAGTTTCCAGCTGTAAATCTCTGTGAGAGTGAAGGCCTCCCACAGAGTGACTGGTGGGTCTGAGTCTCTGAGTTAGCGACCCAGTGCCTAACCGGTGCACCAGCAGGGCTCCTTTCAGAAGTCATTGGCATCACCCTCCTTTTACTAGGCCTATCAGAGCTTGCCAGGACCGATGGCGGTCTAGAAAAGCCAGGAGAGTAGTGATACACTGTCTGATACTCATACTCTACTAGAAGGCAAATAACATCCTAATAGATGGTATTAAGACTGATACGACTATTTCATGTGGCCTAGTCAGAAGACATTGCTCTTCAAAATGTTCAACAATCAAAGTTATTTTTCTTTTAGGTTTTGAGAAGACTTTTGTTTCATTTCAAGATCCTTCTGCAATTGAAAACAATGCAGGAGAAGTTTAACCAGTTGCAGTTGTTCATCTTACTTGTTGATTACATGATTTGGAGAAGTTGTTAACAAAACATTGCATTAAGGGGTCCAGGATGAGTCCTTGGGGTGGGAGTGAGGTTATTTGTAAGCAGGAAAGAGAATTTAGGGAGAAATGAGAAATAAAGGGGAAAAACCTCCCAAGGGCAACATTTATAGAAGGTGTTAAGTCCCTCACTCCTAACACGACACCCCCTTCTTTTACCTTCCTTTCTTTCTTTCATTCCTTTTTTTTTTGTGTAGTGTCAGAGAAAGTTGACAGATGAGATTAGTTTTCCATCTAATGATGTATACACATTTTGTCTCATGCCATTGGTCGCAATCACGTCAATGTAACAGCATTCTTTCTGCCCAGAACTTTCTATCACAATCCTGATCAGATTGGTCACATTCTTAACTTTCTTTTCCATCTTCAACCACATTTTGTTTCTTTGATAATAATCTCTGCCTGCAACAACTAAAATTTGAGCCTACTAAACTGAAAAGTAAAATTAGAAAAGTTATATTGTGTTTGTGCTACAAGTTTAGAGCTACAGTCTTAGAAACCCACGGGAGCAATTTTACACTGCCCTGTAGCATCACTGTGAGTCAGAATTGACTTGATGACAATGAGCTTGGCTTGGTTTGGAGAACAGATAGATAGATAGAGAGAGAGAGCTAGATTTACTCCCATTTTCCTGTTTAGGATGCAAAGGAATATCAGCTCTTTTCCTAATAAAAACTCTTAGCAAAAGAGGAAAAAAGGGGAAATTCTTCAACATAATTAAGAACATACATACAATGCCAAACTAAAGAATCTCTGATGATGCCGTGGGTTAGGTGTTTGGCTAATAATCACAAATTATTCAAACTCATTAACCATTCCTCCGGAGC